GGATAAGGCTGCTAAGTCAGAAACCCTTCAAGCAAAAGTAATGGCAATGAGGAAGGCAACCTTATGGGCAAAGACAGCCCCAGAGGCAGCAGGTTTAGATGATCGGGAAGCAGCCATGGATCGCTTCCCAGAAGCTGGATGATGTCTGAGGAAAAAACACCCTCCTTGGCAAGTCAGGGGCAATGAGGATCACTGGAATGCCTTCCATCTCCATCCAGCGAAACAAACAAGAAAGAAGCCAATGCAGAAATCTGAGGGTCCCTGGTCCTGGCAACAAATCTGTCAAGTTTGTTGTTGAACCAGGAAGTCAATACACCTCCAGGTATAGAGAAATTCCTCTGGATCATGAAGTTCATGTCTGAGAAAGTCTGCCTGCTAATTTTCCATACCTGGAATGTGCACTGAAGAGAAGGCTAACATGTGAAGATTTGCCAAACTAGAATGAGTGCCACTTGTCTTTGAGTTGCTCAACTAGTGGTTGTTCTCATCTTGCAGTATCTTTCCAGACTTCAACCAAATCTGCATTGCCCATCTCTCTTTAGCCTTTGCCAAACCTGTCCTCGTGTACTTGCCTGTATTACCATTAGGTAAACGTCCTGCATTATAAAAGTGGTGGAAACATGAGCATTCCCTCTCACTTACTCTGAACACACGACCAGAAACTGCCTGCTTTTCTTAACTATGTAGAGAAAAACACCCTTCTATTACCCTAGAGGAAACATGTTTCTAACTTCTCACATCAGCACTACACCGAACCACCCCATGCACATGTTGGCATCCCCTGGGGAAAACCCATAAATCACAGACCGAGCAGGACTCATAGGACTGCCCAATGCATACACATAGACCAATCTTCAAAAATCAGTGTGAAAAAATAAACAAGTTGTTCTAGGAAGAAAATGTTTGTATATTATGTGCTACCACTTGGACAGTATGCAAATTGTGGACATTTGTCCAAACTGGCTAAAATATCAGTGTGTATGATCAAAATAAGACAAACAAACAAATAGAAGATACTCACAACCAGGACAGAAAAACAAAAAAAAACAAAAACAAATTATGCTTGGAAGAATAGGTAGAAGAAATTGTGAATCCTATCAGAAAAACACATTTTGGGGAAAAGTCACCTTAATGTCATTCAGCAAGTTCTTGTGGAAGTTCTTTCCATTGTGAGACAAATAAAAGATGCAGACTGGAACAGTGAGCTCCTAGTTATATCTACACTAATGTACACTGCACTATCTGCTTGCTCCCACTCTTAAAATCTCAACAGCTGGACACGATTTCCACAACATCAGCGAGTGCACAAGAGGCTGGCACTTCATGTAAGCACTTATAACCAACACAATAGCACATATCTTAAGAGCTTTAATAACTTTCTATTTTCTAATAGTCAAGCTAAAAGCTACCAGGGTTACCAGGATAAAATGTTATATCAATGAAGGTCCTTCTATAAGGCTTGCTTTGGTAAAGGTCTCAGTCTGCCACTCCATGAAGCTTTTAATGGAAAGAAAGGTTTTTGGGGGGTTTTTCTACATCAAATTTAAACTGTTTTTATGGGAAGCAAGCAGCGATCAAATGGAAGGACTCAGTCACAAAATGTACATTATTCAAGGGGACAAGAGACTTTTAAATGGCGCACTAAAAGGCTGAACACTACAGTTCACCAAATTCCAAATAATAACAAAAACACAAGTTTGCAAAATAATGCAATATGTTTAGTATTTCAGCAACACATTGGAGAGTATTTTGTTTCAGAGACATGATTTTTCAGTACTCAGAAAGAGATTACGCTGAAAGTTTTCAGTAGATTAAAAGAAGATTTTTGTATTTGACTTTTTCTAAAGTCAATTAAGGGACACAGGAGGATAGTACATGACTTTTGAGTTATATTTTCTCTTTCAGGAGGTCTTGACACTGGAAAACAAAAAAAACTTTAAGCCAGCCCCTGTATAACTTCCCCGCCAACCATCTTCCCTAAATGTAATGAGCAAGCAGTACATAGGGCAATAACACAGAGGTGCAGGACCTGTGTCCCCTAGTGGACTTCAAGAAGATGATGTTATGGTAAGTATCGCCTTACTTAGTTCCTTCATGTTGTCAGGTGGAAGCCATGACTCCACAGGTTGTTCACAGTCCTCAGAAAGGAAGGTGTTAGCAGGATGTCTCTAAAGGTTCTCATTCATCCAGGTCATGGCATATCTGTAAAAATTAAGTCAAGGCAACTGGACTTGCTGTATTTTTTTCTTAAAGACGTTTCACCGGTCATCCAACCAGCTTTCTCAATTCAGAAAGCTGGTTGGATGACCAGTGAAACATCTTAAAGAAAAAATACAGCAAGTCCAGTTGCCTTGACTTAATTTTTACAAATGTGGTGTTAGGAGTAACTCTAAAGATCTTAGTAAATGTACGCCTGGGAAACAAAAGAAAAATAAAGCCAAAAAAGGTTTGGCTTTACTTCTCATTTAAGTGGGGGTACGGGGTCCCACCCATGATCACCATAGTATGTATGGTCAAACATGTTGCTTTACACATGCTGCCAAGAGGAATGAGAGCCAGACAGTAGATGGCTAAAAAAAAACAAAAGGAAAAGCTGGTCCAGCAGCTGACAGGCAGGAACGAGATGGTTCCAGCATTATGAATTTAGGTTAAAGACAACTACAATAAATTATATAAACTCAAGAAATATAATATAGAGCATAAAATGACAATGTTTTTGTCACTTCTAGGACTAGAGAGGTGGAAAACCATAAACAACAAAACACAATGCATGTATAGAAACAATACTGAACTCCATTATTTAAAATGCAAAAGGTCAATGCTTTGCTTCTGACAAAACAGAGTAGCTCAATTATTCCCACAGATAAACAAAATAAGACAACAGATACTAAATAACAATTTATTTAATTACAGTACTTTGGCAATATAAAGGATTAACCCCACCACTGAAATGTTAGCAAGAACTAGCCAAGGGATTGAGAAGCGCACTCACTTTTAGCTCTCTGGCTTAATTATAATTTGGTGAATATTAAATAGAAGTCTAACAACTTCTGGAGGTAAAAATATTCTCTGCAGCTGTAAAAAAAACTGGTATTTGATATAGCAAAAATTATTCCCAACAAAACTGATGTTCTTAGTCTGCATATCCATACAATAAAATACTGGAGAGTTTGCTGCTATTGGAACAGCAGCATAATTATCAGGCATGCAAATAGTTTAATTGTTCAATAAAACATACAATCTAAAAACTGGACCTCTTGAATTAATGGATGCCTGCTCTATGACTGGACAATTCATTCAAACAAGCCAAAGACTATTGGCAGGATATTGAAACATCTTTTTCCCAGAAAGTAGTGCGGACATAATGCCATATTATATATGTAATGCATGAACATGCATGCCCTGTTGAGCAGCCTTGGCCTAAGATCTAAGCCCAAAGAATATGCAACGCATGTCCATGCAACATATGGTTTTAGGTGATCTACGCATCTGAGATATTCTGCTAAATGGTAAGGTACAGTTACATTTACAGTTATTTACAGTTACATACATTTTGTACATACATTTTTTTTTGTTTTATACTGTCTAGACTTGCAAAACTGCTGCAGCCATTCTAAAAAGGAACGCAAGGGGAAGATCTAGGTTCCCAGCAATAGAGCTGGCACAAGCGCCCACATTTTTTTTAAAAATATATACAATAAGAATTAAAAGAGAAAAAATACAAACAATAATAATATTATATTATAGAATTTGCAAAGTACTGCACAAAGGGATGAGCTTTCAGGAATCATCTTAGTGCAAACAGAGCATGAGATAGCCGGACAGATTGTGATAGAGAGTTCAAGTGGTGAGCATGGGGGGAGGTGAGGAGAGAGCAGGTCTTGGAAGAAGCAAAGAGGATGGTTTGGGAGATATTTTGAAACAAGGTTGGTGATGTCCTCAGGGTAGAGTTGTAGATGGATTTGTATGCCTTTAGTATTTTGTTATTTTTTTTGCGAGGGGAAGCCAGTGGATGGATTGGCATGGGGTGGCAGACACTGATCAGTTTGTAAGGTGGATGATTCTGGAAGCAGCATTCATGATAAATTGAGAAATGATAACCTGTGTAGAGGTAGGCCAATGAGGAGATAGTTGCAGTAGTCAAGATGAGGTAAAAAGGGAGTGAATTATTAGCTTTGTGGTGTAAAAGGATAAGAAGGGGTATAGTATGGAAATGTTATGGAGGTGAAAACGGCAAAATTTGTATAGAGATTGGATGTGAGGCTGGAAGGAGAAGCCAGAATCCAGGATTAAACTTAGTAACCTGGTATAAGGGGAGGGACTGATAACTCTGCTATGGATTTCCATGGAAAAGTTGGGATGCATCTCGGTAAAGTTTGTTTTGTTACCCAAAAAAAAAACAGTTTGGGGAAAAAGAAAAAAAAAGTGACGCACTGATTACATTGAGTAGTAGAGTATTATACCAGTCCACCAATGCATGTGCTGATTGGCAGATAAGGACTGCCATTATACTGTATGGGAGGTGCCATCTTCACCCAACACTAGCTCAGAAGCTCCCTGGATGGATTTTTTACATAAAATTAGATTCTGAGCTGCTGGTGGATCATGATGAATAAAGTATGCAATATTGGGGTATTATATGTATGGTGTTACCCTAAAGCTGCCCATACAACTTACAATTTATCTGCAGATTTTCTGTGGTCAAATGGAAGAGGTGCAACAGATTCCTCCATCTACCCTTAACTGTGTGTATGGAGTAATCTCCACCAGGGGCCAATCTGTTGCACTTTTTCCATCTGACCACAGAAAATCTGCAGATAAATTGTAAGGTGTATGGCCACCTTTAGAATTTGTAAAAACCCACTAATGAGTGAGAAATAACAAGCGCTGCAAATGTAAAGTTACAGATATTTTACATGGCCATTTTATTTTTAGCATAACGGGTGTAGTAGAAAATATTTTCTATAGCTTTGATTTATAAAAGAAACAATAGCACTTACTTTATCGAGTTCCTAAAGTGGTCTTCTGCGGGGCTCTTCACTGTGCAACTGTTTAATAGCCACAGGTCTGCTTGTTCTGGACTCTCTACAGGGAAAAAAAAAAACAGAATGGGGGATTAAACACAAACAAATGATGCCCTATCACAAATATGACAGACATAGTTCTAGATAAAAATTTCCAGATAAAAGAAATATCCCTTTTTAACTGGACATTTTACAAACGTATTTTGAACAATATCTGCAGGTGGGCATTTGAACATTTTGAAAGCTTGGCTAGCATTATAATTAGAGGTGAACGGAAATAAAA